TTACATATTCATTATATATAATGTTTTTTCTGCTGTCGTTATAATAATATTTTATAATAAAAAAATAATCTTTTTTATTTATTTTTTAGAACTTTATATTGGGCAAATTTTAATGAGAATCATGGAGGTCATATAATGCAATTGGATCTTGATGGAAAAAACGCTCGAATCTTTCAGAAAAATATATCTGTATGCCCCTTCACAGTCGATATGTCACGTTTTATTTTTATGAAAATTGACGACATAAATACTAAGAAAACGCTAATTTATTGGCTAGTACATAATCTCTTGTTTGTGACAGACGTTAACGTTTCTATATGCAATGTAATTATACAAATCGAAAAAATCAGTAATAACAAACACTTCAAATCTTTAGCGATTGACAAGACAAACATTTATATTCGTATAATGTCTGATAATGATAATATATATGTTTTGGAAAAAAAGTATGCACTTCTTGAGAGCGTAGACGCATTCAAATACATCCTAAAGATAGAAGCGTCTTCTTGGTTTCATGAATTCTATGCTTTCGGTAAATCTTTGCAATCATATCCTCCGATAAGATGTCTGACACCTGACAACAAAATTTACAACGCAGAAGAATCGATATACACGGTAACAACGAACAGCATCATCGTAAATCTTCCGGAGCCGGTCCCTAAGAATGGATGCAAAAAGCACAACTTACCTACTACTCTATATACCATCTACATAAACTGTTGTTTGGACAATGAGTTTAATAAGTTCGATAATTTCACCGTGCAGACAAACGAGCGATATTACGAAATTCAGAATTTAACGTCGCTTACAGAGTACAAATTACTGTTAGTAATAAGCAATTTTTATTCTGATCAGTTATCAATAAACCCGTTATTCCGTTCGGTAGTGATGCTGAGAACTAAACCGAGTAGGCTCGGCGCACCAGAAAATGTGACAGTTTATGCTCTGACGCCTACTATAGCGGCTGTTTATTGGATGCCTAAGATAATGAACTGCGTGCCCGTGATCTACGAAGTATCCTGGATGTTAATTAATTTGGAAAACAGTATGCGACGAATGAGCGAAATCTTACTTATTAATAAAACCAAGCATAAGAAAGACAGCAAATTTTTCACAATAATTGAACCGTTGATACCAGCACAGAAATACAGGGTAAATGTACGCATTTATCCACTCAACTACAGCGAACTTCATACTGACAGTTTGAGCAAAACTTTGTACATGTATTCGGAACCAAACAATATAACTTTGAACGAGGTTAGCATAAACAGTATGAATATTTCGTGGATTCCTAACGTTAATTTGACAATTCATTACGTATTGGAATATAAAAATGTTGAGATGCAGGAGTGGCAAATCGCAAAGAACTTTGGGCCGAATAATGGGGAAAAAGTAATGTACTATATAAAAAACTTATTATCAGGAACTCGATACGAGTTTCGTTTGATACTGAGATACCCCAAATACGAGAAAAACTTTACATGGCCATCTGATGGAAGATTTACTTTTTCAACACTGACAAGTAAGCAAATTATAACATTATAACATTATATGCTTATTTTAGATATAAAAATGCTTACAAAATTTAAAAACTTAGTAATTTTTAATAATAAAGTTATAAGTAGAAGAAAGTTTTTAAATAAAATGAAGATATAAAATGAAGATATAAAATTAAGAATAAATTTTTACGTAACAAAGGTAATATTTCGAGCACCCCTGGAACATTAATAATGCAATATTACCTACCATTCACCTTAAGGGGATCCAAAAGTGACGGCCGAACTCCGACAGGTTAGCGCCTTCATCCAAGCGTAACTAAAATTATAGATAATACCGACCGAAATTATCGATAATATCAATAATTTTAGTAAGGGGATCCGGCCGAACTCCGACAGGTTAGCGCCTTCATCCAAGCGTAACTAAAATTATAGATAATACCGACCGAAATTATCGATAATATCAATAATTTTAGTTTCGCTGTTACCGATATGAATATTTTTGCATGTTCTATGCATATTTGAAAGAGAATTGTGTTCAATATGTTGAAATCGGACAACATCGTGTATTTCTACTGCTCTATTGCCTCGCACGCATATCTAAGCGTATTTAAGCGTATAGATAACAGTATAATATAAACGTGTCTGCCTTTATCACATATTTGAAAATAATTTCACATTGTTCATACGGGCTATGTGTCTTCCCACATATCTTCCAAGAGAAATAACATTTGGTTAGGTGTTATATATATAATTGTGTATATATATATGTATATGTATAATATGTACATAGACGTATACAGATGTATGTGTATGATATATGATATATACATATATTCTGAATATTATCATGTGACTTTCTATAAGTTGCGATCTATGCAACGCAGCTAATTTTTTTCAATCGATATAATCAATGGATATATAACAACAATGTATTATTTATACAAATATATATTATATTGTCTCTTTTTTGTTCGTATACATAAATGTTTATATATTTGTAATAAACATTTATAATACATTGTTTGTCTCCATCGCAACAGAATAATATATCGCCTCTGGCATATATTTTTTAACACACATGCAAATTGCATCTAGTGTGAAATAACAACCAGCTCACGAATTGATCGCCTCTGGCATATATTTTTTAACACACATGCAAATTGCATCTAGTGTGAAATAACAACCAGCTCACGAATTGATCGCCTCTGGCATATATTTTTTAACACACATGCAAATCGCATCTAGTGTGAAATAACAACCAGCTCACGAATTGATCGCCTCTGGCATATATTTTTTAACACACACGCAAATCGCATCTAGTGTGAAATAACAACCAGCTCACGAATTGATCGCCTCTGGCATATATTTTTTAACACACACACAAATCGCATCTAGTGTGAAATAACAACCAGCTCACGAATTGATCGCCTCTGGCATATATTTTTTAACACACACACAAATCGCATCTAGTGTGAAATAACAACCAGCTCACGAATTGATCGCCTCTGGCATATATTTTTTAACACACACACAAATCGCATCTAGTGTGAAATAACAACCAGCTCACGAATTGATCGCCTCTGGCATATATTTTTTAACACACACACAAATCGCATCTAGTGTGAAATAACAACCAGCTCACGAATTGATCGCCTCTGGCATATATTTTTTAACACACATGCAAATCGCATCTAGTGTGAAATAACAACCAGCTCACGAATTGATCGCCTCTGGCATATATTTTTTAACACACACACAAATCGCATCTAGTGTGAAATAACAACCAGCTCACGAATTGATCGCCTCTGGCATATATTTTTTAACACACACACAAATCGCATCTAGTGTGAAATAACAACCAGCTCACGAATTGATCGCCTCTGGCATATATTTTTTAACACACACACAAATCGCATCTAGTGTGAAATAACAACCAGCTCACGAATTGATCGCCTCTGGCATATATTTTTTAACACACACACAAATCGCATCTAGTGTGAAATAACAACCAGCTCACGAATTGATCGCCTCTGGCATATATTTTTTAACACACATGCAAATTGCATCTAGTGTGAAATAACAACCAGCTCACGAATTGATCGCCTCTGGCATATATTTTTTAACACACATGCAAATTGCATCTAGTGTGAAATAACAACCAGCTCACGAATTGATCGCCTCTGGCATATATTTTTTAACACACATGCAAATTGCATCTAGTGTGAAATAACAACCAGCTCACGAATTGATCGCCTCTGGCATATATTTTTTAACACACATGCAAATCGCATCTAGTGTGAAATAACAACCAGCTCACGAATTGATCGCCTCTGGCATATATTTTTTAACACACATGCAAATCGCATCTAGTGTGAAATAACAACCAGCTCACGAATTGATCGCCTCTGGCATATATTTTTTAACACACATGCAAATCGCATCTAGTGTGAAATAACAACCAGCTCACGAATTGATCGCCTCTGGCATATATTTTTTAACACACATGCAAATTGCATCTAGTGTGAAATAACAACCAGCTCACGAATTGATCGCCTCTGGCATATATTTTTTAACACACATGCAAATTGCATCTAGTGTGAAATAACAACCAGCTCACGAATTGATCGCCTCTGGCATATATTTTTTAACACACATGCAAATCGCATCTAGTGTGAAATAACAACCAGCTCACGAATTGATCGCCTCTGGCATATATTTTTTAACACACATGCAAATCGCATCTAGTGTGAAATAACAACCAGCTCACGAATTGATCGCCTCTGGCATATATTTTTTAACACACATGCAAATCGCATCTAGTGTGAAATAACAACCAGCTCACGAATTGATCGCCTCTGGCATATATTTTTTAACACACATGCAAATTGCATCTAGTGTGAAATAACAACCAGCTCACGAATTGATCGCCTCTGGCATATATTTTTTAACACACATGCAAATTGCATCTAGTGTGAAATAACAACCAGCTCACGAATTGATCGCCTCTGGCATATATTTTTTAACACACATGCAAATTGCATCTAGTGTGAAATAACAACCAGCTCACGAATTGATCGCCTCTGGCATATATTTTTTAACACACATGCAAATTGCATCTAGTGTGAAATAACAACCAGCTCACGAATTGATCGCCTCTGGCATATATTTTTTAACACACATGCAAATTGCATCTAGTGTGAAATAACAACCAGCTCACGAATTGATCGCCTCTGGCATATATTTTTTAACACACATGCAAATTGCATCTAGTGTGAAATAACAACCAGCTCACGAATTGATCGCCTCTGGCATATATTTTTTAACACACATGCAAATTGCATCTAGTGTGAAATAACAACCAGCTCACGAATTGATCGCCTCTGGCATATATTTTTTAACACACATGCAAATTGCATCTAGTGTGAAATAACAACCAGCTCACGAATTGATCGCCTATGACATAAATTGGATTATTTTTAATCAATTATGTTTTATATGTAATTATGATTACTTATTTCATTCATTGTGTATGCCTTCAGTGAATCAATGTCATTTAGCAGCAAGACTAAAACTATGTTTGCTAATCTATCTTCACTAATTATAACATATGTAGAATTAAAGGATATATCTAGTTTAAAAGAACCATCCTATATAGTATGCAATCGATATATTTGTATCTTATATAAGTTTTGAATTGCCTAATTTTTAATTTATGTTTTGCCACAGAATCAATTGAAAAACATAGAGAACAAAGTATTTAGTCCTATGAATATATACATGATAACGTCATTACTTTTAAATGGCGCTAAAGAAGGATCGACAGAGAAGGAATTGATGTCTCTTTTGAATATTCCTGATAAAATATCTTTAAATGGATACATAGCTAAACTTATTTACTTAAATGTAAGATGAAAAGTGAAAAAATGTACTGTAGTACAAAATTTTTTTGAATAATGATATATTTATATGTGTTTTTAGGGAATCAAAAACATCGAATTGCATCTAGGAACCGCAGTATATGTTCAAATGTCAGTTGAGCTAACGGCGGATTTTTCATCAATATGCATAAATAGATTTAATTGTTCGATTTCAAAAGTAGATTTCAAAAATAATGCATATGTTGCAGAAAATATAAATGCATGGATCCAAAAAACAACAAATTATAAGATGTTAGATCGAATAATTTCTCCAGGTATATTATATAAATGTTTGACTAACAATTAAATATAAATAAATTATAATTAATGCAAAGCACTTTTTTAACATCAAAATACTTTATATGAATAGTTAATATCGACAAAGATACAAAAATTATGTTGGTAAATATTGTTTACGTAAATAGTAGATGGCTAAATTTAACTTATAAAAAAGGAACAGAAGAATACAAATTTTTTGTTTCTCCATCAAAAATGTATTCTGTTCCAACAATGAAATTTGAAAAATTGACACTTATTCATGGTGAAATACCACATTGGAATGCCAAGTTCATTGAAATTCCATTTTCGGTAAATAATTATTATTTATAATAAAACTATCAAAAATAAAATAATGAATCAAAAAATAATCTTATAGAATATCAAGAATTAAATATTGAATAAAAATATAATTTTACAGGACAACAATATTACAATGATTATATTTTTGCCAAATGAAAAGATGGAACCTTGGAATCTGAAGTATCTGGAAAAAAAGATTAACTTTACAGAATTTAAATCAATTAGAACTGCACACACAAACAAACTTCAGAAAGCTACGTATTTATATTTACCTAAGTTTACGAGTGAATATACTCAAAATATAACAGATTTTTTTCGTCAGGTAAATATATATTAAATAATATATTGTAATTAGCAAAATCTGTTTATACAACTGATACGTAAGAGAGATTTTGAATAAGTTCTAGAAACTAAAATTGATAATTCCTTGTAGAAGGGCGTAAATACGATGTTTGAGGATAATGCAGATTTTACACATCTCTCAAAAATTCCTCTAAAAGTGAACAATATTGTTCAAACAGTTTCCGTAAATATTAAGGAAGGAAATTCAGAAGTTCCAAAAAGTAACCTATACATTTGTGAATAATAAAAATCTTTAGGCGAATACTATGTGTATAAGTATTACAATAAAAAATTTTTAATTACAGTTGTCAGAAGCAGAGTAAGAAAACCACCGCGAGTACGTCCACCGCAAAAGTTGATCATTGATCGTCCGTTTTGTTACTTAATCGAAGTGTACGGAGAGTTAATGTTTGTTGGAACCGTGCGAGCACCAGACTTTATATCTATTTATGAAAGATGAATTATAAATTCTATTACATTCTTATATTTATTAAAAGTTTATATCACGCAATGTACGTACAGCTTAAATTTTTTTAAATTTTATGATATTAACACATATAAAATTTAAGCATTAATAAATAAATAATCTATATTTTGAAAATGTGCTTTAGTTATTATTTGATCAATTTTCTTATTGCTTAAAAGTAGCCAAATAAATTTGCATTTATGTGCGTTAAATACAACAAAATAACTGTATATGCATATACAATCGAGCAACTATGTACCTATAATTATATAATGTAAAAGAGAGAGACGGTATATACGCCCTTTTGAAATTTGATGCGTTTTATATTAATTGATCTTTTCGCATAAATACATTATGAAAAATCTTTCTCAAAATTTAAATGCTATATATATCTAGAAATTTGTAAAAACAATTTGTGTATTATATATTATTTATTAGGACACTATAAGCGTGCGCTATGCGATATAGGATATAGGATATAGGATTGTGATTGAATTAAATTGTAATCCTCTATAGATTTTATTGAAGGAGAATCAGAGTTAGTTTCTGGGTTATTGAATATTTTAGCAGTGAGTTTACATTAATTTTAACTGAATATAAAAAAATTATTTTTTTTAGATTAGTATTATATTATTATATTAGTACAAGTATATTATTAATTTTTATTTATTTATTTATATTTTTATTAATTAATATTATTAATTTAGTAATCATTTTTATATAAGAATTGTTTTGGAAACAAGAAATTGATTTGTGAAACAAAAGGAGATCTATTTTATATTGTAATTTCTGTATAATTTTAATTGAATTTTTTTGATTTCTAAAAAGTTTTAATCAATAGCAACGGTACTTAATTTTTCCATAATCATATGATGGTTCAGTTAAAGATATACAGGTTTTCGAAAACGTCATATGAAAAATTGCGATATTTTTTAAAATATTTGGGTTTTAACTTTTCGAGCGTTAAAAATTTTTTTTATAACTCCTGTGATGTTATCCAAAACTATAATTAAAAAGCTGATTAGATGCGATGTTAAAAACAAATATTGCATTACAAATTCGTAGAATATGCGTTGTAAATTTCACGTAATTATCGCGTTACTTTTATTTTAATCAGACGATTAAAATCATTCTGACAAAACAAAATAATTTTCAAGATTTGAAAAAAATGTTTCAAATAAAAGTTGTAGGGTTTTAAGTAAGGGAGTTTCGTGCAGCTTGCTAAAAATAAAGTGATTTTTGAGAATTTTTTTTTTGAGAAAACAATTCAATGGATTTTGTTGAAACTTTTAGAGTATTTTAATCAACATTTAAAAAAGTATAAAAATTTTTTTTTTGTTATAAAAAAATAGTTGTGTTAGAAACTATAAAAGTATTTCGCCGCGGTCTCGGCGTCAGAGAGTCGTTTATCGGCGTGCAGTATAGCACCTGTTGTATTCGCTTGAAAAAAAATTTGAAAAAATTTTTTTTTTTTTAATAAGATTACGCTATGGATGAACCACATCATACAAAAAAATGCAAAGTTGAAGAAATGGCAGAACTTTGAAAAAAAGTTGCATTTTTGACGAAAAATTTTCATTTTAGTTATGTAAAAAAAATAATTAAATTTAATAATATCTTTAAAAGTACTGGTTCACAGAGGAATATATTTATCTACATGCTTGCACAGAGACAAGTCGATTGATTGAATATTTTTTGAGTTATGCTGCACGCCAATCTGAAAAAAGTCGTTTCGAGAAAAACGCGTTTAAAGTTTTGGGTATTGAAAAATAATAATTTTTGGACTCTTACAGCTGTTTTGCGCTAGTCTGCGATTCCAGGCCCATACGTGCACATGTAGCAAACTTACAGCTTCTTTGTAAAAATTTTGCAGCTTAATTTGTTGCTCTCTCCGAACCATTCCTTCTTCGTGCTGCTTAGGCTGCGGCGCTCCTGCCTCTTCAACCGCTCCGCGTCGCAAATATCAACGAAAAATTTACATTGCTGTCCAATAATGATTTCTAGTGTTTCCATTATTTTTAATATGACATAATAACCTTCATTGAAAACTCCAGCAGCTATAAAAGACGCGATCTCGATAATCTTTATGCCGATATTCAAATGTTTTGAAGCTGAGTATCCATTCTCTTTTCCACGTGACCAATACACTCACTTTTCACTATTTAAAAATATACTCACACAAACGTACACAAATTACACAGACACGCTGACTTATAAATACCGACTCATGTTCGGAGCTTATTCATACAACGAACTAAGTGGAGGAATGCGCCGCGCGCTCTCCGGTATACCTGCGTGACGCGTAGCTGTAAGATCGATAACCCTGGTAATATTTCGAATTTTGTTCTGTAACTCCAGGGACATATTTTTAAGATGTACTACTATTAATTTATACACAAAAAACTTTACAACTTACAAAGTACATGTTACATTGTAAAGCGAGGTCCACCCTGCCTACTGGGGGGGTGGGTGCGGGAGAAGGGCCGAAGGCTCCCCTTGCACCTCCCCCCCGTGTGTGTGTGTGTGTGTGTGTGTGCGCGCGCGCGTGCTTCCTGTCCGTGCATGTACTTTGGTAAATTTTAAACTTTTTTTGTTAATAACTTTTTAATAAGCAACGAGCGACGATTAAATTAGAAGAAAAAGTTACTCAGAATTATGTCCTTGACAACTAGGTCTATCTATAACTAGGGTATCAAGGTCAAGGTTATTGGGGCTGTGTCCCCTTTTCGCTATATTTACCCTTAATTTCTAGATTTGTGCGCAATAGAACTTGTAGACAATCGTTCCGTAGGCAATAATGTCATATGTGCAATGCAGCTTGTGCGCAATAGTATCGTGTGAGCAAAGGTACGTTTATCTTTCAATTTTTCTATTTGTGCGCAAAAGTGTCTGTAGGCAATCGATCTGTAGGCAATAATATCATGTGTGCAATGCAGCTTGTGCGCAATAGTATCGTGTGTACAAACGTACGTTTATGCCTAAATTTTATTATTTGTGCGCAAAAGAACTTGTAGGCAATAGATTTGTAGGCAAAAAGTTTTGTGCGCAAACGATTTGTTGGCAAACGGTCTGTTGACAATCGATGCTGTTGGCAATAAATTTGTAGGCAATTGGGGCCGCCCTCCCAAAGTGCTTCAAACAAAAATTGTAACGTTTCAAGTGATGCATAATAGTATTATCTTGACCTTGGATTACTTTGAAGATTTTTTAAAAATCATTTCGAATTTTTTAAATAGAAACTCCCGTTTTTTGTATTCTAACTGGTCAAAACGGTAATATTAAAAAGCATATTTTAAAATAATATAATTAAATTTTCTTTTGTTAAGAACTTTTATGAATTGGAAAGTTACGATATCTTCTGCCGGAGAAAATGACTCGAGATATGTCATATAAAGATACTGATTAAATTTACTTTACTCTTGGAATATATAGGTGTACGTTTGTCCATACATACATGTGTAGAATGTCAAAGATCAGAACTTTCTAGTTCATCACTTCTACAGTTTTTAATGACTCTAAACTTTTCATATATCATGTAGAGATCAAAACTCCGTAATTTGTTAATCCTACGATATATTTATTGACTATATTTCTCCACAAATATGTCTATATACGAAGCGTGACCAAAAAATACCGTGACTGCCGCTACAGCGCGTCATATAATTGAAAGAGAGGAGGAAAACTTACGTAGTGAGATCTAATTTAGAATTCTCATTACAATACAGTGGAACCTCAAAATAGTGCACTGTATGGGGCTTTGGCACGCTATAACGAGGTTACTCCCGTCCAATTCGGAGTCATTGCGGCCGTGCGAGATTTGCATGAACACGTTCTTTCAAGTACATCATCTCTGGAAAAGAACACTTTTTTCTTATTTTTGATACAAAAGTATTAAGCACTAATTGCTTCAGCTTTTTGCAAGAGTAATTGGGATATTTTTTACTTGTAAATATTGTAGAGTACATAAAAATGTTAGCGTTTCTTCAATAATTTGCATTTAAATGAAAAAGGATAAAAGTGCAATATTTACTTGATTTTAAAGTAACAATTACACTTTGACTATGGATATTGATTGAAAAAACAATTAGTGCATTTTAAAGTGCCGACTTTTCTCTTTAAACTACTTTTTTAATCATCATTGCGCGATAATTTTTTCACTAGTTATAAACGTTCAAACTCAATGGATTGATTTTACTTCAGTAGTGAATAACTCGGCGAAAAAATCATAGGATATTCATCAAAAAAGCAAATTAAAGATAAAACTCTGCTCTTTAAAATCCAGTTAACGAAATCGTGTTACAATTTTTTTTTCTTTGGCACTTTTTGACAAACTTTTGAAAAAATTGTTGAATCGACGAATGTCGCTTTTTCATAATGTAATTTTGTAACAAATAAAAAGAAATAAACTCGACTAAAAGATTCTGAAACTAGAAACTTCAAGCTTTGTAACGCTTTTTTATTGATCTCAATCCGATTATATGTAACGAAGTTGCAGCCACTTGAAAATTGCCTTTTCTGTAGAAAGAAGGTGGCCCTTTTTAATTTTTTGCGTAGTATATAACTACGGTATTTTTCATATTCTGTCTCTTCTCTCTTGACCTGTCCGGCATGGGTGATCCTAGTGACCCAGTAACTACGTTACCACCGGCATAGCTCTTAGGTTTATTAGAGTACTCAAATCTCCTCACCCGGTAAACACCTATGACGTTTATTGTTGCACTATACGTGGTTACATATTACTTATGAACGTTAGTTACTCATTAATAATATTAATAATGAAATTGAACAAATCTTAAAAAGTCTAGCTCTTTTTAAAGTAGCGACAAATGTCTTCACAGAAGAAAATCGCAAGTGGAGTGTAGCAAATAAAAAATAATGGTTCGGCAAAAGTGCTTCATTTAAATCGATTATTCAAGCTGATGATTCATGATGGTCACCAATCAAATACAAATACGCAATCGCGTCATATGAAGCTCGATTAGAACCGCACGATACAAACGTTTCAGTCCGTCAAGAACGATGTACACGAATAGTGGGCCTTCAAGAGCACGATAGTATATATATATAAAAAACAATTATCACACATACAGTTTTTAATTGAACGCAGTATTTAATCAAACAAGAGATATATAGAAAATATATACAATCTGGTAAAATTTGGCGCATGAATAGTGACAAAATTAAAGATTTATAATTCAGTAATTTCCTGTTCGTCTATAATTTTCTCCAACAATAATTATATCATGCACGTTTCTTTTCATTTGACTGCTTTTCTATCAAATTATATTAAGAGGAATTACTGAGGAAATCTGATAATATTCATATTATTATTTGATACAAACAAATGCATTTGTTCAATGTTGTCATTGGTTTTTATGGAAAAAAGTGAGCAATTTATTAACCAAATGTTTTATAATTTGATGATATGTAAGATACATCGTGATTGATTATAAAAAGAATTTTGAAAATTAGCGCTAGAAGAGATTTCATGATTGCTATACTAAACAAATTAAAAAAAAAAATGATATAAGTAAGAAAACATTGATGCAATTAGCAATTATTTGCATTATCAAGAATATCGATAGAATCACTATTCATAGCTGAGCTGCCAAAGATTGTGCGGGAACTGATTGAGAGCAAGTATTTACAAAAAAAGAACAAAATTATTATGTCAAAAACGGTATTATGTGTTTTACTAAAAGTGTTAATGTTAGCGGGAGCGGATACTTTATCAAAGTATCCGGAAAATAGTGTAGCTTCGAGAGAGTGCGATGGGCCATGTGCCCAGATTCAGATCTCATGCAAGTAAGAGATTGCTTTGTTAAATAAGAAATTAAATGTTATTACAGCTAATAGTTTGAGTAACCAAAATTGTATATAATAATAAAATATATGTACTGTATAATAATAAAATAAAACTATATAAAATAAACACTGAAAAACATGTATAATATTATCAAAAAAAAGGAATGTATAAATCTTGGAAACTTTGTTTATAAATGAATGTTATATAATACGAAATAAGCTTAATTAAATCTATTAAAACTTGACTGTATCATCTTTGTGCTTCTCTAATTGCTTTTTTTTAAAATAAGTATTTTTAACACCAATAAGGTTTTCTGTTTATTCTCCGCTATATTAATACTTACATATGGTGACACGAACTGATTTTTATGTGATTTTTCTTCAATTTCTAAGACCTCTTTATTTTCTTAAATATTTATAATCATTTACGAGGGACAATCAAATATAAACCGAACTTTTCCCAAAATTTTTTCGATCAAAATATTTTCAATGCACACCCAAGTCTTTTTTCTACATAGTTTCCACTAACATCCAAGTACTTTTGCCATTTGATTGGCAGTTTTTTTATTCCCGTGTTATAAAAAGTAGTGGGACGTATCCGAAGCCAATTGTGCAAACTGAACTTTTCCTCAAAAATTTTCTTAATTCGATGAAAATATTTCCAACGCACACTCAAGTCATTTTTCTACACAGTTTCCACTAACATCTAAGCTCTTTTCCCACCGGATTGGCAATTTTTTTATTCACGTGTTATAATAAGTAGTTGGACGTATCCAAAACCAATTGCGCACGAAAGAAAATGTTGCTTTTGCACAACAACGCTAGACCTCACACCGCCGCCTTAACTCAAGAGAAATAGTTTCAACTGCACTAAACCACGGTTGAACATCTCCCTTACAATCCCGATTTATTACCGTGTAATTATCATTTGTTTGGACCACTGAAAGAGGCGTTGGAAGAACAACGATTCGACAATAATGAAAAAGTGGAAGAATTCGTGCGCAATTGGCTTCGGACACGTCCCACTACTTTTTATAACATGGGAATAAAAAAACGGTCAATCTGGTGGCAAAATTGCTTAGATGTTAGTGGAAATTATGTAGAAAAATGATTTGGATGTACGTCTTAATTGAAAATATTTTGATCAAATAAAATGTTTTGGAAAAAGTTTGGTTTATATTTGACTGCCCCTCGTATTAGTATAATAAGATATGTACTAAATTAGTTTTTATTTAACAAAATTAATTTAGAAAGTCAGCCTCATTTTTTTTATGTTAAGGATAGTTATATATACAGGGTGTAACTAAACAAACGCATATGGACACACTATTAGATACAGAATAACAATTCAAATCGAAAAGTCCTGAACCATTTTTTGATCTGAGCTTTCTTTTCGTTGTTATGTGATGTTAAAGTTAGCTAATCAGCGCCTGTTTATACAGCAGAAAGCCGTCTCGCTACTCCGACCCCCGTCGTACCTTCTCTGTTTTCCGTTGTAGACATCCGTTGTAGTTACACCCAGTATATACACATATAACAGAACAGAATTACTAAATATCGAAATAAAGTCGAGTATCGGTATAATGGGATTTCGAGTTGTATCAATTAACAGTAACATTAAAGCTAATATTCACAGAAATCAACAATATACGCAACCAGCCAATTTTTTGGTACGCCTTCGACTTTATATATAATTTTAATTGTACATATATTCATTATATAGCTATATACACACAATTTTACTCAGGTAATGTAGGTTAATTATAATATCATATTCTCCAAAATTTGTATGCGTTAAAAAACGATAACTGAAAAGAAATTCAACAAAAGTTTAAATAAAAAAATTTATATAATTTCTATGACCATAAAAAGACAATATTTATAACATTTATATTCTTGAAGTTAAATAAACTGAAACTTTAATGAAAACAAATAAATTTTTAAAAAGAAGAATAGTGTTAAGATAGAGTCACTTACTTGGAGAAATTAACTAACTTACCGTAAACAAACGTTAAACAAAATTGTTTCAACAATCGAAAAGAGCTACATCTTCATGTATTATTTGCTAAGAGAAGCGGTTATATGAACTCTCGTTAACCCAAATTATTCTATTCTGCGTGACTTTGGACCATCGCACATAAATTGACATAGCTGCATATGCATGGCAGACCGTTCAAATCAACGAGCATTTAGCATTAAACCACCACATATTGATTTACATTACATGCTCATTGGTCCAAACGGTCTTATTGACATCTATTTGATCCAACTTTGTGTACGATAGCCAATTCTGTTTGATAAAAGAATCATGTCTGATATGCAAGAAGATCTTGCATATAAAAAACTATAGAAACAGATTTTTGAAAAAAGTCTTGAAAAACAATAAAAACAGATTTAAAATAAAATGTAACTGCACTGTATGTTTTAAACACACTATCAATCAAGAGAGGTATACAGAAAAATATCACACCTATTTGATTAAACAAACAAGAAATTTCATGGCAGATTTACTTATTACATACATTACTATTTACTTAGTACATATATTGTTTATTAAAAGTATCGAAAGTAGCCACGTTTTTGGCCTAGCGGTGTTTACTAAATTCTTTTCGTATGTTATGTTTTATCAAGGATATTTCAGTATCCGAGAACAACGATTATCATATTTTACAAAACCGCAAATCTGACCGGAGCCATCCTGATAGTGTGAGTGTGAGAAACAAATTTGACAAAATTCCATTTGCAAATATATCTGTGATCCCAAAATCTGTTGGTAAGTTGCAAAGAAATGCATAAATTGTTAGCAAAAAAGTCCACGACAAAAAATATTGTAAAAATAATTTACATTTAAGAGAAAATAAAGATAAATTATTAAAGAAATAACTTTCAACACCGAGAGCAATGTAACTCATTTTACCGCAAAAAAAGAAAGAAAAATCCACATATTGTATATAAAATTAATCAAGATTTAATATAAAGCAGTTAATTATTTAATTTTGCTAGTTTATTCTTTTTAGAAGAATCGCAAATATTATACTTCTGATTTCTTAATCATTAAGATATTTCCGAAAAACGTTTATTGCTTTATTAAAAACTTTGTACTTTATTCTTGTTCTGGATTAACAATTATTTTTTTTGAGTCGTATAAAACACGTAAACTTTTTATAATATTTTATTATTTTAAAAGTCAACACTTGCTGTGCTAATTTTTATATTTTGTAATTTATCTCTATTTTTTTCTGGTTTATTTTTACTTTAAATTGTTTTTCCTGAATTATTGAGATAATCAAGTTAATGTTCTTATATATAATTATGCCAATATGTGCAATACTATAATTTCTAGAAAGCATTTTGAGCAAACCAACATCTCCCAGAGCATTTGTAGAATTCTATAATCAATTTCTAAATGAAGACGACGATATTTCTGTGACATTCAGGTAAAAAAATCTACATTCTCAGTCTGTATTCTTTTAAATTTAACGACACATACACATAAAAACATTGATTCTGTTATAATATTACTAAATATAAAAAGGCCAAAATATTATTTCTTTTACAGATGGAACCAACCTGAATTTACAGACGAAGTAATACAAGGATACACAGTGCAATGTTGGTTCACTGAAAATCTAAAAAAGATTCAAATCTGCAACGACAAAAGTATCTCAGCTACAATATTGGAGTGCACGGTGCACAATCTAAAACCTAACATGACGTACTACTTTCAAGTACGAGCGCATACTAAAGTTGGAGCTGGCCCTTACACAGATTTATTTAATGTATCGATTACGCATGAAAACCCAATACCGCAATTATTGATAGTAACGGGAAACGGTATCGCTATATGGGATCTTGATTCAAAAATCAACGTTAATCTCGTTAAGGATGAATTCGTGAGATATGTCACTTATTCGATAGCGGAACATAAAATTTATTGGAGCAACAATATGAAAGAGCTAATGATATTGGAGATTAATGAAAACAATATTAAAAAAATAGCTAGGAGTAAATATATTCCGTCACATCTCTGCATCGATTGGGTAGCAAGAAATCTGTACTGGAAAGAATATGACGGAAATAAATATGATTATTTAATGAAGCTCGATTTAACACTGTGGGAAAATGGCATAGTCAAATATGATAAGATATCGGAAACAAGAACCATATTTCATTATCGCAGTTCTTTAAATATACTACCGTCTATAGGGTATATTAATTTTCGATATGAAATAAATAAACAATCAATAAATTCAAGAGAGAAAAGCCAATAAAAGCCCGGACGCGGTATTTATTGCGTAAAAGTTGTATGCTGTTTATCTAGCAAAAGATGTTGATGGTCACGATATAAGTGTGCAAATAAACATTATAAAATGACAAACACCAAACGTTTCGGCCCATTTCGGATCCTTATCAATGGTAATAATTTAATATTAATATAAAAACCGAGAACTCGTGAGCCAGAGTAATGTATCCAGAACGCAACTTATACTAACTAACATTATACAGCGTTTATAACATTATCCAATGGATCGCAGATGACTGTAAGATTCCGCGTGGGTTAAACTCATTACACGGCCGCTTAATTTTGTTCTTAGGCAAAATGGTGGAGGCAGGCGCGAGCAATCGAGTGACACCATAGTAAGAAAAAACAGATGGTGAACCTCTTAATGTTGGAAAAAAATGTGTGTCCAGTCTAAGCGTTATAGTAACTAACATTATACAGCGTTTATAACATTATCCAATGGATCGCAGATGACTGTAAGATCCCGCGTGGGTTAAACTCATCATACGGCTGCTTAATTTTGTTCTTAGGCAAAATGTTGGAGGCGGGTGCGAACAATCGAGTGACACTACATCCATAGTAAGAAAACTGATGGTCATGCTTTTAATGTCGAAAAAGAATGTGTGTTCAGTATAAGCGTATGGAGCTGAGGAAATAGGGGTGGCGAAATTAGTAAAATGAAGATGAAAATGAAGGAGATAAAGTTACTTACAAAAACAAAATTGATGTCCAAGTTAATTAAAAGCTATGCGAGACTCTTTGAAAAATTTTTTTATTTAAAACCCGTTGAAAATGTTGTTCGAAAACACATGATTGGAAACAGAAAGCAGACTGGTTTAGCAAGCTGCTCGATTTCTAATGAGGAAACCGTCACAAGGAAACGGAATAACATAGTAAAACATACGAGATAATAACAAATATTATAATACAAAATCAAAAACAAAAACAAAGGTATAAACAAAATCTGGGAAAGAACAAGGGAGAGGAAAAAAAGAAAAGAAAAAACATTAGGAGCATTTGTTTATGATAAGAAGGTAAAAATTGTCCAGAAGAATTGTGTCATCTTGAAGATTTATGCTATTTTTTTTTGTTGCTTAATGTATAGCATTTTCAATATCAGTCTCTCGATATAAGAAGGCTCTTCGTCTAATATTCGGATGTTATCCCAATCAAATTTATGTTCTGTGAGTCGATATTCTGTAATTACCGACTGACAAGAAAAATCACGGTTTATATTGAGGCGATGTTCTTAAATTCTCGGAAAGGTTCTTAAATTTTTATTCACAACATCCGAAGTATCACAAAAAGGGCGTCATTATCGGCTTAGTGGATCGGATCTTCCGCTTATCGTATCCACAAATCCGTGAAAAACATTTTAATCTAATTATCAACATCTTTATGGAAAATAACTACCCTTTGGATTTTATTTATATGACCATCTGTAACAGGATTAAATCTTTAATTAATGAAAGGGCTAGCTTCGATTCTCCTTCCAGTTCCTGTCCCCCTTCCAGTTTTCCTTTTTGCCCCCCTTCCATTTTTACAATCTCTTACGTAAGAAGTGTCACAGAAAGATTAATGCCAGTCATTAAAAATATCGAGAAAGCTATGGCATATGTATGTGTCAATAAACTTAACATTATTAAAACATATAAAGATTCTCTTCCGGCTTTAAATCGTAATAATGTGGTATATAAGATATGTTGCCGTGACTGCGATGCGTCTTATGTGGACCAAACAAATCGACAATTAACAACAAGGATAAGAGAACATCACCTTAAACCGTGATTTTTATTGTCATTTGGTAATTACAAAACATCTCACAGAGTATGAATTTGATTGGGATAACGTGCGAATATTAGACGAAGAGCCTTCTTATATCAAGAGACTCATATCGGAAATGCCATACATTAAGCAACAAGAAAATAGCATAAATCTTCAAGATAACACGATTCTTTTGGACCATTCTTACCTTCTTATCATAAACAAATGCTCCTAATGTTTCTTCTTTTCTTTTTTTCCTCTCCCTTGTTCTTTCCTATGTTTTGTTTTTAACTTTGTTTTCGTTTCTGATTTTGTGTTATAATATTTATTATTATCTCGTATGTTTAACTCTGTTGTCCCCTTTCCTTGTGACGGTTTCCTCATTAGACATCGAGCAGCTTGCTAGACCAGTCTGCTTTCTGTTTCTAATCATGTGTTTTCAAACAAAATTTTCAACGGGTTTTAAACAAAAAAATTTTTCAAAGAGTCTCGAATAGCTTTTAATTAACTTGGACATCAATTATGTTTTTGTAAGTAACTTTATTTCTTTCATTTTCATCCTCATTTTTATAGGCCTGTATTCTGAGTCTATCGATTCATACATCGCAGCGTTGCATCCTGCATCTTGCATCTTTTACTAATTTCGCCACCCCTATTTCCTCAACTCCATACGCTTATACTGGACACACAAACATAAACTTAGTTATAAGAATTTTACATATTCATTATATATATAATGTTTTTTCTGCTGTTGTTATAATGTTTTATAATAAGAAAATAATGTATTTATTTTTTAGAACTTTATATTGGGAAAATTTAACTGAATATGGAGAAACTCAGATAATGCAATCGGATTTTGATGGAAAAAACGCTCGAATCTTTCAGAAAAATATATCTATATGCCCCGTCAAAGTCGATATGTCACTTTTTATTTTTATGAAAATTGATGATATAAATATTAAGAAACCGCTAATTTATTGGCTATTTTATAATCTCTTGCTTGTGACAGACATTAACGTTTCTATATGCAAATTCTATATACAAAGTGAAAAAATCAGTAATTACAAATATATCAAATTTTTAGCGAGTGACAAGACAAACATTTATATTCATATGATGTTTGATGATAATAATATATATGTTTTGGAAAAAAAGTATGCACTTCTCGAAAGCGTAGATGCATTCAAATACATCCAAAAGATAAAAATGTATTCCCAAATTGAAAGATTTTATTCTTTCGGTAAATCTTTGCAACCATATCCTTCGACAAGATGTCTGACACTCGACAAAAAAGTTTACAACGTAGGAATATTGATGGTAACAACGAACAGCATCATCGTAAATCTTCCAGAGCTGGTCCACAAGAGTGGATGCAAAAACAACTTACCTCCCACTTTATATACCATCAACATAAGCTATCGTTTAGACGATGAGCTTAACAAGTTCGATAACTTCATCGTGCGGACGTACGAGCAATATTACGAAATTCAGAATTTAACGCTTACAGAGTACAAATTACTGTTAGTCCGAACAAGCAATTTTTACTCTGATCAGTTATCGATGGAGCCATTATTCGACTCGGAAGTGATAGTGATGATGAGAACTAAACCGAAAAAATTAGACACACCGGAGAATGTGACAGTTGAGGCTCTGACACTTACTATAGCGGCAGTTTATTGGATGCCGCCTAAGACGCTGAACATGCCTGTGATCCACGAAGTACACTTGGTGTGTGATAACAATCTGTTTGAAAATAAAATCTTTATTGTCGAAAAGGCTGAACATATGAGAAACGGCATATTTTTTAAAATAATCGAAGAGTTAACACCAGGACAGAATTACACGATATATGTACGCATATATCCAGTCAACTTCAGTGATTATTATAATGACAGTTTGAGCAAAATCTTGTACATGTATTCGGAACCAAACGATATCATTTTAAGCGAGACTAGCATAACCAGTATGATTATCTCGTGGATTCCTTCTGTTAATTTGACGATTGATTACGTACTAGAATACAAACATTTTGAGACGCAGGAGTGGCAATTTGCAAAAAACTTCGAGCCGAATAATGGGGGAAAAGTAATTTATTATATAAAAGACTTATTACCAGGAACTCGATACGAGTTTCGTTTGATACTGAGATACCCGAAATACGAGAAAAACTTTATATAGCCATCTGATGGAAGATTTACTTTTTCAATACTGACAAGTAAGCAAATAAAGATATTATAACATTAAATGCTTATTTTAGATATAAAAATGCTTACAAAATTTAAAAACTTAGTAATTTTTAATAGTAAATTTATAAGCAAAAATAAGTTTTTTAAAAAAATGAAGATATTACGAGTATACTTTTGCGTAACAAAGGTGATATTTCGAGCTTTGGAAATATTAGTTATATACTCTTGGAATACACCCTTGAAACATTAGTTTTGCAAAATTTCCTACCAATCTTTAGCTTTATCGCTACAGTTACTATAATCTGTTTATACTACTTTTACTGTTGTAAGTATATTTAATACATTTAAGTCTTTAATTGCTGAAGTAAATTATATCTAATGTAATATATAGAGATTTTCTAAAAAAAATATTTTTTGACAACAAGAAGAATATAAATTTCAATTCGTGGAAAAGAAAAGGCCAATTGGAGTCTGGACATGGTACTTTAAACGTAATAATTGTATACTGTTTTAATAAACGATGTTAATACATATATATTATAAAATTCTGAATCAAACGTTTCAGCCCACTTTGGGTCCTTATCAATGAACGTATAGAATCAAAATTCATTGATAAGGACCTGAAATGGTTTTTTCATTAATTAATATTTATCATTTAAACCTTGTGTAATTTTTAATTTTATTGTTGTATTGTAATATAAATTTCATTTTGCTACAAAAAGAGAAAGAAAACTCCACATATGTAAAATTAATCAAGATTTAATATAAAGCAGTCAATTATATTATTTAATTTTGCTAGTTTATTTTTTTTTAAACAATTGCAAATATTATACTTCTGATTTCTCAATCAATAAAAAATTTTCGAAAAATGCTTAGGTAAAACTTAAGATTAAGGGCGACCTCACCGATTTCAATGACCTTGATATATGTTGTCAAGGACATAATTCTAAGTAACTTTTTCTTCTAATTTATGTGTGTGTGTGTGTGTGTGCGCGCGTGTGTTTCCTGTCCGTGCATGTACTTTGGTTAATTTTAAACTTTTTTTGTTAATAACTTTTTAATAAGCAACGAGCGACGATTAAGTTAGAAGAAAAAGTTACTCAGAATTATGTCCTTGACAACATATATCAAGGTTATTGAAATCGGTGAGGTCGCCCTTAATCTTAAGTTTTACCATTTTTACTTTAAATTATTTTTTCCTGGATTACTGAGATAATTAATTTAATGTTTTTGTATATAATTATGCCAATTTGTACAATTGTTAAATTTTTAGGTAGCATTTTGAGGAAACCAACATCTCTCAGAGCATTTGTCGAGTTCTACAATGGATTCCTAAATAAAGAAGACGACATTTCTGTGACATTCAGGTAAAAAATCTAAATGCTCAATCTATCTTCTTTTAAATTTAACGGTATATACTATAATAACGGTATATACATATAATAACGTTGATTCTGTTATAATTTTACTAAATATGAAAAGACAAATCTTATTTTTTTTACAGATGGAACCAATTTGAATTTACAGACGAAGTAATGCAAGGATACACAGTACAGTATTGGTTCATCAAGACCCAAAAACAGATTCAAATTTGCAATGATAAAAATATCTCAGCTACAGTATTAGAGTGCACGGTGCACAATCTAAAACCTAACACGACATACTATTTTCAAGTACGAGCGCATACTAAAGTTGGTGTTAGCCCTTACAGAAAAAATCTAAATTTTCAATCTCTATTTTTTTAAATTTAACGACACATATATATAAAAACGTTGATTCTGTTTTAATTGGTAATTGTTTACTATAGCGGTCATCTCACCGATGACCTTGATCTTCACATATATTATAAGAGTAAGGTTGTTGATTACTATTTACTTTGTTTTACTTGGCAATCTCGTATATATTTTAAGATATTTAACGAGAAAGGTTTATTGAATAAAATGTAATTTTCCGATATCATATATATTTGATAAGCGAGGTCTATTCTATATCGTCCTGTGTTTTGGATGCGAAACGAGGTTTATAATTATATGATTTTACATGGATCTGTAACTTTCTGCGCGAAGCGAGGTCTATTCCATATCACTCTGTGCTATGAAATTATAAAAATACAAAAAGTTATGACAGCACAGGACGATATGGGATGGACCGCGTTTCTCACAGAAAATTACAAGCCCATGTGAAATCGTATAATTATAAACCCCGTTTCGTATCCGAAGCACAGAGTGATATGGGATGGACCTCGCTTCGCGCAGAAAGTTGCTAACCTATGTGAAATCGTATAATTCGGTAAACCTTTTTTGTTAAATATATTTCGAAAACTATACAAGACTGCCAAATAAAACCAAGTGAGTATTTAGCAACCTCATCCTTACAACATATGTGAAGGTCAAGGTCATCGGCGAAATGTCCGCTAATGTTAATAATTATCTTATAATTTTACTAAATATAAAAAGGCTAAAATCTTTTTTTTTTTTTTACAGATGGAACCAACCTGAATTTACAGACAAAGTAATACAAGGATACACCGTGCAGTGTTGGTTCATCGAGAACCTAAAAAAGATTCAAATCTGCGACGACAAAAGTATCTCAGCTACAATATTGGAGTGCACGGTGCACAATCTAAAACCTAACACGACGTACTACTTTCAAGTACGAGCACATACTAAAGTTGGTGCTGGTCCTTACACAGATTTAATTAATGTATCGACTACGCACGAAAATCCAATACCGCAATTATTTATAGTAACGAGAAACGGTATCGATATATGAGATCTGGATTCAAAAATCAATATTAATCTCGTTAAGGATATCGACATTTTACATGCCACGTATTCCATAGCGGAACATAAAATTTATTGGAGCAATACAAAGAGAGAGCTGATGATGTTGGAGATGAATGAAAACAGTATTACAAAAATAGCTAAACTTCAAGAAATAGCGTACAATCTCTGCATCGATTGGGTAGCAAGAAATCTGTACTGGATGGAATCCGACTATATATTTGGTTTTGGTGACATTGTGAAGCTCGACTTAACAATGTGGGAAAATGGCATAATCAAATATGATAAAATATCAAAAATAAAAACCTATCTTGACATTGATCGTTTAAATATATTACCGTCTATAGGGTATGTCAACTTTCATCTATTTGAAATAATTGAACAATATTTTCATTAAAAATTTGTACTTATTTGTAATTTTTCAATAATTTCACATGGCTTTGTAATTAAGATCAAAAGTTATAAAAAAATAATAAATTAACACAAATTTAATTATAAGAATTTTAATTCACTATATATAAAAGTTTTTTTTGCTACTATTATAATAATGTTCTATAATAAATAAAATAATGCATATATTTTTTAGAACTTTATATTGGACAAATCACTCTACGGATAATAAATGTCAGATAATACAATCGGATCTTGATGGAAAAAACGCTCGAATCTTAAAACAACAGCTCGAATCTCGAAAACAACAGCTTTATTATGTGCTTATTACGATTCTCACTCCATACGTCAGATCATTTAGTTGATATGAAAATTGATGACATGAATACTAAGGAGCCGCTAGTTTACTGGCTATGGTCTGATTTTTTGTTTGTGACAGACATTAACGTTTCTATGTGCAATTTGATTTTACAAGTCGATAATATTACGAAAAATGAAGAACATAAAATAAACTTTCAATCTTTAACAATTGACAAGACAAACATTTACATTTCTACAGCTTTAAATAAAAATATATATGTTTTGAAAAAAGAGTATGCACTTCTCACGAGCGAAGACGCATTCAAAAACATCGAAAAAAAAACAGCGTCTTCCTGGATTAATTACTTGTATGCTTTCGGTAAATCTTTGCAATCGTGTCCTCCAAGGAGATGTCTGACGCCCAACAAAAAAGTTTACAACGGATTGATGTACACAGTAACGACGAATAGTATCATCATAAATCTTCCGGAACCGGTCTCTAAGAGTGGATGCAAAAGGCACAACTTATCTACCACTCTATATACCATCTACGTAAACTATTGTTTGGATAATGAGCTTAATAAGTTCGACAATTTCACCGTGCAGACCAACGAGCGATATTACGAGATTCAGAATTTAACGTCGCTTACAGAGTACAAATTACTGTTAGTAATAAGCAATTTTTATTCTGATCAGTTATCGATGGACCCGTTATTCCGTTTGGAAGTGATGCTGAGAACTAAACCGAGTAAGCTCGGCGCACCAGAAAATGTGACAGTTTATGCTCTGACACCTACTGTAGCGATAGTTTATTGGATGCCACCCAAGAAACTAAACTGCGTGCCCGTGATCTACGAAGTACATTGGACGTTAATTACTAACAGTAAGCAACAAATAAAGAAGCTATTTAATAATAAGACCGAACATAAAGAAGATAGCAAATTTTTCACAAAAATTGAACCGTTGATACCAGGAAATAGATACGATGTATATGTACGCATGTATCCAGTCAACTTCAGCAATTATTATAGTGAAAGTTTGAGCAAAATGTTGGACATGTATTCGGAACCAAACGATATAATTTTAAACGGGGTTAGCATAAATGATATGAATATCTCGTGGATTCCTAGCCTTAGTTTCATTGATTACCAATTGGAATACAAAAATGCTGAGATGGAGGAGTGGCAAATTGTAGACGACATTGAGCACAATAATAGGGGGAAATTAAAGTACTATATAAAAAATTTACTACCAGGAACTCTATACGAGTTTCGATTGATACTGAGATACCCTAGGTACAAAGATTTTATATGGCCGTCTGATGGAAGAGTTATTTTTTCAACACTGACAAGTAAGCAAATGAAAATATTATAACATTATATGGTAATTTTAGATATAAAAATGCTTACAAAATTTAAAAACTTAGTAATTTTTAATAATAAAGTTATAAGTAAAAGAAAGTTTTTAAATAAAATAAAGATATTGAGAATAAATTTTTACGTAACAAAGGTAATATTTCGAGGACCCCTAGAACATTAATAATGCAATATTACCTACCATTCACCTTAAAGACCTAGTCGCTATAATTACTGTAATCTGCGTCTGCTACTTCTACTATTGTAAGTATATTTGATACACATTTAAGTCTTTAATTGCAGAAAGTGATTATACCTAATGTATTGTAGTAAATAGAGATTTTCTACGACAAATTAATTTACTTGTTGAAAAGGCGCTGTAAATTTTGCAATGCATATTATTAGATAAGCATATTGTAATTTTATAACAGTGTACCGACAACGCAAAGAAAGTAACGAGCAAATTTTGCCTCCTGTAATGACCGACATCGAATTAGAGACTTCACATCAGATACCTAACGTTTCTAATGTTCAACTCAACACGTTATACAGTCCTATGTTAGAACATAATTTGAATAAATATGCACTGACCGAAATCACGTGAGGAAATCAGATTAGGAAAACTTTTAGGCAGCGGCGCATTCGGAATGGTAAAAACTTATTTCTTCGATGTAATGTTACACGCTATTAATATCTAGATGTACAAAAATTGAAATAGATACGCATTTCTCGATTAAAATAATTACATACATAACTTTTTATAAGAGATTATAAATAATGCAAAATTTTTGTAAGATAACATACACTCTATTATGTATTTTTCGTTAAATTATTTAATACAAAATGAAATGATGTCACTTGATATTAAACTATATATTTTTTAACGAAGTATAAATTTAAATTAATTTCAAATATTTTGCAGGAGTTTCAAGCAAAAGTAAAGAATTTAGAAAGGCCGGGCACAGAGATATCCGCTGCCATAAAAATGCTTCGAGAAAATGCTTCTTCGCAAGACAAAGAGAAATTTTTAGAAGAGGCCAAGCTTATGAATCACTTCCGACATAAACATGTGCTAAGATTGCTGGGCGTCTGCTTAGACGGCGAAGATGCTCCATTAATCGTGTTGGAATTAATGGAAATTGATCTGCTACAATATTTGAGAGATAGTCAAAAATTGCAACCGTCAGATTCGCACGCTCTGCGTTTGCAAGATTTATTCGCCATGTGCGAAGATGTTGCGCGAGGTTGTTGCTACCTGGAAGATCTGCGTGTCGTTCATAGAAATCTAGTGTGTCATAGTTGTTTAGTATCCGCGAGAAATCGCGAGAACCGTGTCGTCAAAATCGGCGATTTTGCACTAGCTAGAGATATTTCTAAGAAAGACTTATACCGCTTGGTAAATACAATTATTTAAAAAAATGAAATTTTTTAAAAATGTTTGTATGTTCTTTTTTTGTCGTAATAATATAATACAGTTTTACTTTGAATAAAATTTTTTGAGAAAAATAAACTATTTCTATTTACGCAAAGCAATACATGTGTAGATAAGTGAACGTTTTTCGTTTTAACACGAATACTCTAAAAATGGACAAATTGAACCAAAAGATTAACTTCGCCAAAATCACATGTTTTAGGTGGGAATGGATTGTCTTCCTATTCGTTGGATGGCACCGGAATCTTTGGTGGTCGGAATATTTACTTCCCAAAGCGACGTTTGGTCATTCGGGGTTCTCATGTGGGAAATTACATCATTGGGTGAGCATCCCTATACTGGCAGAACTAATCAGGAAGTGATAGATTATGTCCGCGCTGGAGGCAGATTGCCGATGCCTCTCAATTGTCCGCCAACCTTGTACGAGTTGATGCTACGTTGCTGGAGTCCAGCAAATGATAGACCGAACTTCAACTTTTGTCTCGAAAATATTATAACTCTAAGAAATAATATGGAAGATACCTTACTGAGTCCAGTGGATATTATGTAATCGATAAAATTAAATTAATTAATAACATTATTTTTCGAACGATCTAATGAATCTTAACATAGGAAAAATAATTTAGAATAACTAATATTCTGCCGTTTTCGAGTTTAATCTTAATATATTAGATTTGTCGATAAAGATAAAAAAGACATTTTTCAATTTTACTTTGCAAACAATTTTGATGATTAAAAACACAGCACTTGTTCTTACAACTGTAAATAACGTGATGCTGACGCTAGTACTTTCAAATAATCTTCTGATATTACTATAATTATCTGTAGATTGCCACAGTAATTTTAGAAATAATGTTTATTTTTCATATTATATTAGTACCTGCTTTATATTCGTATATATATTGTTTCTTACTTAAATGCTTAAATAAAATACACAATCTTATTACGTTAATATATATAACATTTTTTAATATTAATACAGAATAAAAGAATTAAATTTTATAATGTGCACATTTTTCCAAATTTTCTAGAATTTTTTATTCCCTTCCCTCTTCTTTCACTCAAAATCTGCACATACGATTAAACTGATTTTAAGCGCAGAAATATTTAAAAAAAATACAGTTAAGAAAGAGAATATAGCAAGTCACTCAAATTTATTGTGAAGAAAAGATCACTCGCTTAGACACGACTAAATTGAGTTTGATCAGCGATAAATTCAACTGAGATAGAATTGTCAAATTCGTATAGTTCCTAATTTCTCCTTTCCCACATTTTTAAAAGATACAGTTAAGAAAGAGAATATAGCAAGTCACTCAAATTTATTGTGAAGAAAAGATCACTCGCTTAGACACGACTAAATTGAGTTTGATCAGCGATAAATTCAACTGAGATAGAATTGTCAAATTCGTATAGTTCCTAATTTCTCCTTTCCCACATATCAAACAATAAAAAAATTAATAATTTTATCTGTATTAACAATAAAAAAATACTGCATGTATCTGAGCATGATGATGAATTAATCGTTGTATCTAAGCTCATACGCAGATCACGTAAGACATAAATCAATCGATTAAGGAATCGATTGCGACATCTGTGGCGTGCTCCTAGCTCCTAGTATTATTGCGTAAAATTAGGATTAGGATAGCGTGACGAATCCGGGTTCTTTCTTTTCATTTTCTCCGATTATTGGAAACTTGCATCACGTAGTGGCGGCACTGCTGGCTGCGATCGGAAATCTTGCAAGCTTTCGACAAACGACCAGATTCTCTGGTGGCGTTTAGACGTAGTGTAGAAAAGACTCTGATTTCGTTATCGGCTCGGCCGTACGGAAAGCCTCTAAGGGCACTATCGTTTTATTGTGTTAAACTGCTCATGTTGTTTAATTGCTACTTGTTTCATGGCATTTTTGTGCATCGGCACTCGTGAATCAATGATTGCTACGGCGAGAACATCGATCTCCGCCATTCAACGAGGAGTTCGATATTGCATCAGCCAAAAGAAATCGGCGAAAGAGATTCCTGTTTGTATTTAACTTAAAGAAGCAATGCTTCATTTTCCTAACTATTCTAAATAAAGACTCGCCGGCTTGGTCGGAACTTGACAAATTTAAATACACGCTTTCACCAGGAAGTCGATTGTGTATTTTGAAACGAAGTGAAAATTACAAAAGTGAACAGATTTACTAGATTTCGATAAATGAAATCGTAGATACTTTAGTGAATTTCCTCACTTTTGTAATTTTGACATCGTTTTAAGATATACAATCAACCCCCAGATATCCTTGTAAAAGAATCCGATTCTCGTGCTCGTGCGCATTCCATCCGACGTCCTGGCGTAGCTCCAGCTTATAGTGTTCTAGTAAACATATAAATTATGCGAAATACGCTCTTCGAAATTTATTGTTGCTATATATGTGATTACGTAATATTTATGAACGTTAATTACTCATTAATAATATTAATAATATAAAATTAAACAAATCTTTAAAAGTATAAAAAGATATAAAAGTAAGGCTCTTAAACGATTAAAATCAAGAATCCGAGTAAAATGGCAAAAGAGCCACGCGCAGTCTCGGATTCTTGATTTAAAAGTATAGCTTTTTTTAAAGTAGTAACAAGTATCTTCACAGAAGCAAATGTGTCACAAGGAATGCAGCAAATAAAGAATAATAGTTCGATCAAAGTGCTTTATTTAATTCGATTCGGGCTGATGATTTATGATGGTCTCCAATCACAAATACGCAAGAGCATTATATGTCACTCGATTAGAACCGCATGATACAAAATTTCAGTCCTTTAAGAACGACATGCACGAATAGTGGGCTCTCGAGAGCACGCATAGTATATATATAAAATTTATAAAAAACAGTTATCACAATTACAGTTTTTCATTAAACAAAAGATATAGAAAATATATATAATCTGTTAAAACTTGGCGCATGAATAGTTACAAAACTAAAGATTTATAATTCAGTAACTTCCTGATTGTCTATAATTTTCTTGCTTTTCTATTAGATTATATTAAGAGGAACTAATAAGAAAGAGACTAATAACATTTATATTATTGTTTGATACAACCGAATGCATACGTATCAGTTCACAGTGTTAGCATTGGCTTTCATGGAAAAAAGGTGAGCATTTATTAACAAAAAGTTTTATAATTTGATGATATGTAAGATGCATCGTGACTGGTTATAGAAAGAAATTTTGAAAAGTAGCGCTAGAAGATCTCATGATTGATATATAAACAAATTTCAAAAAATGATATATACGTAAGAAAACATTGATTTGATTAGCACCTTGGCATTATCCAGAATATCGAGATTGCTTTGTTAAATAAAATTAAATGTTATTATAGCTAATAGTTCATTTGAGTATATAATAATAAAATTGTAATATGATAATAAAATATATGTACTGTTTAATAATGAAATAGTAATTGTACATATTAGGGCCGATCTCACAGATTTCAATGTCCTTGATATATATTATCAAAGACAAGCCTCTAAGTAACTTTCAAAAGGTTTTAGCCGTCGCTCGTAGTTTATTAAAAAGTTATAAACAAAATAAGTTTAACGGATTGAAAGTAATTTTCTGACATTAATATTAAAAAGTACACACACACACATACAATATAAATGATATGTATGTGTATTATAAAGCAAAAACGTGGGTGGGAAAGGAGCGGAATCCCTCTTCCTGCATCCACACCACAAAAAATTCTATTTTTAGGGTGTAGGTAGGGGTGCAAGAGAAGGAACGAAGCCCCTCCCCCGCCCACGCTTTTACTTTATAAACTTTATAATAAAGTAAAACTATAAAATACTTCTTCTTTTTTAAATTTGACGCGTGGTCGGTAAAGATTTACTACGTTTTAGTACATATTCTTAGCAGATTTATTTATTCTTGAGTTATTGGGTACATATTTATCATAATAAATAAAAAATCCGTAAATTTTCTGACATATATATACATATACAACAGAACAGAGCTACTAGATATCGAAACAAAGTCGAGTATCGGTATAATGGAATTCCGAGTTGTATCAATTAACCCTAACAATAAAGCCAATAGTCACACAAATCAATAATATACGCAATAGCAAATCTTTTGCTACGTCTTTGAATTTATATATAATTTTTATTATACATATATCCATTATATAGCTATATGCATATAATATTACTGAGATAATGTAGGTTAATTATAACATCATGTTTTCCAAAATTTGTTTGTGTTAAAAAATGTAATAACTAACCAAAAAAAATTTGACAGAAGTTTAAGTATAAGAATTTATATAATTTCTATGACAATATATAAAAAGACAATATTTGTAACATTTATATTCTTGAAGTACAAACATTATAACAAATAAATTCTTGAAAAGAAAAAGTCGTGTTAAAATAAAGTCACTTACTTGGAGAAGTTGACTAACTTATCGTAAAAAAACCAAATCGTTAAACAAAATTGTTTCAACAATCGAAAAGAGCTACACTTTCATGTATTATTTGTTAAGAGAAGCGATTGTGAAGTCTGATTAACCCTCATTAATCTATTCTGCATGACGTAGCCAATCTCACACAAATTAACATAGCTGCATATACATAGTGTTACGTTCGCGCTGGACGCTCGGTGTTATGTTCGCGCTGGATGCTTGGCGAGACATTAGCTGCAAGGCGTTCTCCCTAACAACGAGGGGGTTTTGTTAAACGAAGTTGGGTTGTGGTTTTCCGGGGGCCTTCGGTCTGGAAAGACGCGTGTCATATTCGGTTACGAATATTAATGAATGCTGTACTCTTGTTGTATATAATATTTCTGTGTATAAAGTTGTTCTCCTTTTTACGGAAGTGTCCTTTTATTGCGTGTGCGCGAGTGTGAGAAAGTGAGAGAGCGACGAACGCAACAATAGCATAAGATCGTCTGAATCAATGATCATTATATTAATTTATATAACATGCTTATTGATCCAGACTATATTATGCTATGCATATGCAGCTATGTCAATTTGTGTGATAATTCTTTCTCTTTGATATAAGAATCAGGTTTGATATGCAAGAAGATGTCTTGAAAAATCAATAAAACAGATTTTATAAAAGTGTAATTATATTGTATTTAACACATTTTCATTCGGGAGAGGTATAAGAAAAATATAAAGCCGCTATTAAACAAACAAGTAATTTCATGTCAATTTTATTTATTTGTACATATATTATTTATCATTAAAAGTACCGGAAATTGCCGCGTTTGTGGTCCAGCGGTGCTTACTTAATTCTTTTCGTATGTTATACTTTATCAAGGATATTCCACTATTATAGAGAACAACGATTATCACATTTTACAGAATCTCACATCTGACCGGAGTTATCCTGATAATGTGAGCGTGAGAAATAATATTGATGAGATTCCATTTACAAATATGTCTGAGATTCCAGAATCTATTGGTAAGTTGTAAAGAAATGCATAAACCATAAACCACGTTACAAAAAGATCTACGTCAAAAATGATTGTAAATTTACATTTAAGAAAGAATAAAAATAGAATCTAAAAAAAATATTTTTTGACAACGAGAAGAATATAAATTTCAATTAGTGGAAAAGGAAAGGCCGATTGGAGTCTGAATAATAAAAATAGAATCTAAAAAAAATATTTTTCGACAACGAGAAGAATATAAATTTCAATTAGTGGAAAAGGAAAGGCCGATTGGAGTCTGAACACGGTACTTAGAGCGTAATAATTGTATACTGTTTTAATAAACAATATTAATGCACAAATATTGTAAAATTATGAATCAAACGTTTGGGCCCACTTCGAGTCCTTATCAATGAATGCATGGAATCAAAATTCATTGATAAAGACCCGAAATGGGCCGAAACTTTGATTCATAATTTTATACTATATATGTATTAACATCGTTTATTAAGACAGTATACAATTGTTACGCTCTAAGTAACGCGTCCAGGTTACAATTGGCCTTTCTTTTTCTATTAATTAATATTTATCATTTAAATCTTGTGTAATTTTTAATTTTATTGTTGTATTGCATATAAATTTCATTTTACCACAAAAAAAGAAAGAAAAATCTACATATTGTATGTAAAATTAATCCAGATTTAATATAAAGCATTCAATCATATTATTTAATTATGCTATTATTTAGTTTATTTTTTTTAAACAGTTGCAAATATTTTACTTCTGATTTCTTAATCAATAAAATATTTCCGAAAAACGCTTAATGCTTTATTGTTTGATTTTATTATGGATTAACAATTACTTCTTTAAGTCTTAAAACATTTAAACTTTTTTATAATATTTTATTATTTCCAAAGTCAACACTTGCTGTGCTAATTTCCGTATATAATTTATCTCTATTTTTATTTTAAATTTGTGTTTATTTTCCTTGTTTTTATTTTTATTTTAAATTGTTTTTTCTGAATTACTGAGATAATTAATTTAATGTTTTTGTATATAATTATGCCAATTTATACAATTGTTAAATTATTAGATAGCACTTCTTTTCCCTTGTTTTTATTTTTATTTTAAATTGTTTTTTCTGAATTACTGAGATAATTAATTTAATGTTTTTGTATATAATTATGCCAATTTATACAATTGTTAAATTATTAGATAGCACTTTGAGGAAACCAACATCTCTCAGAGCATTCGTCGAGTTCTACAATGGATTCCTAAATAAAGAAGACGACATTTCTGTGACATTCAGGTAAAAAATCTAAATGCTCAATCTATCTTCTTTTAAATTTAACGGCATATACATATAATAATGTTGATTCTGTTATAATTTTACTAAATACGAAAAGACAAATCTTATTTTTTTTTTTACAGATGGAACCAATTTGAATTTACAGACGAAGTAATACAAGGATACACAGTACAGTATTGGTTCATCAAGACCCAAAAACAGATTCAAATTTGCAATGATAAAAATATCTCAGCTACAGTATTAAAGTGCACGGTGCACAATCTAAAACCTAACACGACATACTATTTTCAAGTACGAGCGCATACTAAAGTTGGTGTTGGCCCTTACACAAATTTATTTAATGTATCGACTACGCACGAAAATCCGATACCGAAATTATTGATGATAACGGGAAATGATATCGATATATGGGATCTGGATGCAAAAATCAACGTTAATCTCGTTAAGGATGATAAGATAGTAAGTGTCGCTCATTCGATAGCGGAACATAAAATTTATTGGAGCAACGAAGAGAGAGAACTAATAATATTAAAAATGAATGCAAACAATATTTCAAAAATAACTAAGTTTCAAAATGTTGCGCGCGATCTCTGTATCGATTGGATAGCAAGAAATCTGTACTGGACAGAAGATGACGGATATAAATCGTATAACATCATAAAGTTCAACTTAACAATGTGGAAAAATGGCATAGTCAAATATGATAAGATTTTGAAAGTAAAAACCGAGTTATATAATCGCAATTTTTTAAATATACTACCGTCTATAGGGTATGTTAATTTTCGATATAAAATAAATAAACAATCAATAAATCCAAGAGAGTAAAGCCAATAAGAGCCCGTACGCGGTATTTATTGAGTAAAAGTTGTGTGCTGATTATTTAGCAAAAGATGTTGATGGTCACGATATAAGTTCGCAAATAAACATTATAAAATGACAAACACCAAACGTTACAGCCCGCTTCAGATCTTTATCAATGATAATAATCTAATATTAATACAAAAACCGAGAACTCGTGAGGTGGAGTAATGTATCCGGAACGCAACTTATACTAACTAACATTATACAGCGCTTACAAGATTATCCAATGGATCGCAGATGACTGTAAGATTCCGCGTGGGTTAAGCTCATCAGACGGCCGCTTAATTATGTTCTTAGGCAAAATGTTGGAGGCGGACGCGAGCAATCGAGTGACATCACATCCGTAATAAGAAAACCGATGGTGAAGCTTTTAATGTCGAAAAAGAATGTGAGTCCAGTATAAGCGTATGGAGTTGATAAAATAAGGGTAGCGAAATTAGTAAAAAATGCAAGATGCAAGATGCAACGCTGCGATGAGTATGAATCGAAAGACTATAAAAATGAGGATAAAAATGAAAAAGATAAGACTACTTACAAAAACAAAATTGATGTCCAAATTAATTAAAAGCGACGCGAGACTCTTTGAACATTTTTTCTGTTTAGAACTCGTTGAAAATGTTGTTTGAAAACACATGATTGGAAACAGAAAGCAGACTGGTCTAGCAAGTTGCTCGATGTCTAATGAGGAAACCGTCACAAGGAAAGGGGACAACATAACAAAACATACGAGATAATAACAAATACTATAACACAAAATCAGAAACGAAAACAAGGTTATAAACAAAACATGGGAAAGAACAAGGAAGAAAAAAAACAGAAAAGAGGAAACATTAGGAGCATTTGTTTATGATAAGAAAGTAAGAATGGTCCAGAAAAATCGTGTTATCTTGAAGATTTATGTTATTTTTTTGTTGCTTAATGTATAACATTTTCAGTATGAGTCTCTTGATATAAGAAGGCTCTTCGTCTAATATTCAGATGTTATCCCAATCAAATTCATGCCCTGTGAGTCGATGTTCTGTAATTTCCGAGTGACAAGAAAAATCACGGTTTATATTGAGATGATGTTTTTAAATTCTCGAAAAGGTTCATAAATTTTTATTCACGACATCCGACATATCACAAAAAAGGCGTTATTATCGGCTTAGTGGATCGGACCTTCCGCTTATCGCATCCACAATTCCATGAAAAAAATTTTAATCTAATTATCAACATCCTTATGAAAAATGACTACTCTGTGGATTCTATTTTTATGACCATCCATAACAGAATTAAATACTTTATTAATAAAAGGGCTAGCTTCGATTCTCCTTCCAGTTCCTGTCCCCCTTCCAGTTTTCCTTTTTGCCCCCCTTCCATTTTTACAATCTCCTCCCCCTTACAGAAAACCGAAAGATATCGTGCGGTATACAACATCGTCCCATCGCCCCCCTTAGAAGAAAACCGGGAGATGTACGTTATATGTCACCCACCCTCTTCCACCCTTCCTGTTGAAAAGAGAAAAATTGGATAAAGTACCGCTAGAATAAACTTGATGCTATGAAGTGGTAACGAACACGTGCGTGCATGTACGGGTACGCTTGTCCGAGCGGGCGAGTCCCGCTGCGCAGGTAGACATACGATAACAGCATCGCTGGAGACGATAGAAAGGGTCTTAAAATATATACGGGTACCTGAGACTGTTTGACGCTGAGGCTCAGGACAGAGGCTATGACATCACAGAGACGCCGGGAAGAAAGGAAGGGAAGAAAAATATTTGCACCCTGTTGCTTTAAAATAAAAAACATCTTTATTTATATATCAAGGGAATATGATATAATATACAATGAAAAATTTACATATAATTTAATATTCATTTACAAAAAAATTATTTTCGCCGCTGCAAAAAGTACACGAAATTATATTACATAATATAGCGATAAAAGCGTTAGTCGAGAAAAAATAGAAAAATCATTGTTTAAATACATAACCATACGGTAGCGAATTTCGACTATCGATAAATCTACGTTTTAGTAATACGGGCGCGCATACTTTAGTTAAATATTCATATAATTTTAAGCGAGCTTGAGCCGTCGTATACGCCGCTATCGCAACATTAGTTATAGGTGAGGGCGTGACGGCCTCTTGTCGCAATCGCCACGAAACATATATTACCTCGTCGTTCACGGGTAATATATCGGTTATCTCATGCTCGGCGCTCGTCAGTAATGTCAAAAAACGTTGCAGCGTTCTCACAACCTCGGTATTCGGCAAATTGGCCCGCTGCACAGTGGGGAATTTCGGCCAAAACGTGGCCATAAATCGAAGAATCATCAGAATTGCGCAAAAATTGATAGATTAATGTTTTCGGGGTCGCTGATTACGAATCCGGTGTGTAATTTCTCAAAAACAAAATGGCTGCCTCAATATAACGGACCAAATCATTAAATATTAACCAGAATTGCACAAAAATTAATAGATTAATGTTTTCGGGGTCGCTGATTACGAATCCGGTGTGTAATTTCTCAAAAACAAAATGGCGGCTTCAATATAGCGGAGCAAATCATTAAATATTCACCAGAATTGCACAAAAATTGATAGATTAATGTCTTCGGGGTCGCTAATTACGAATATTCATCCGATCTTGGCTGAAAATCAATATCAATGAATTTTAGAGGTTGCCGATTACGAATCAAATTCGGGAATTTCTAGAAAAATAATGTTAGACTCAATATGGGTAGGTAGACTTTATTATTACAATTTTTTTATTTATGTATTATATATCCGAATCGGAATCATTAGCAGAAATAATATCCTCGATATTATCGTTCGACAGCAATTGAATAGCTTCAGGCAATAACTCTTTTAATTTTTTTTTGAGGTAGTTTCCTCAAACTAGATATATAAGGATCTGATGACACCAACAACCAATTCAAAACATCTTCCATTGTTTTTTCACGCGAACATTTTCGTGAGAATCCCTCTCTATATTTTTTAATATCTTTATTTCGGGCTTCCTGAGCTTCCTCAGATAATTGCCCAATTGGTAAAAGGGCGGAAGCTATTATCTGAGGACCGTGAATTAGTAATTTATGAACTGTAGTTGGCATATTGTACCATGGATATTCAGATACAAACATCCTTGCAGTTTCCAGGGCGTATTCTTTGTAATTATCCACATTAATATCATACCCACTTGAAATAGTTTGCAGAATTATGTGGAATCTCTTAATAATCTGTTCGTTTAAACCAGTTATCAAGGCGCTTATTGCCGAATTTTCAAAAAAGCGTCGAGCAGTATTTCCGTCATTTGTGCTACCATACCCAGGCTTCGGGCGATCTACAATGAGCCCCAATTCTGATCTGAAGCCTTTTTGGATATCTGATTTACGTTGGCTAACTAGCTTCTTTTCGTCTTCCGTTCGTGCTTGCCACTTTTTGAGGCTGAGTTTATAAGAAAGATGCAATAAGCACTCAAATAAACGAATCCACGCGTGCAACGTGGACATCCCGAAACGTAAATTTGTTTCATTTATTTCTCTTTTCAGGACTTTATCAATATCATTAAAATCTTTTGAGGTAGCACCGCATAGATAACACTTTAAAGTAGAAGTTGTAGACGTGATAGCATTACATACTTTTCCGTCAATCATAGTAAATAGCATTTCATAATTGATTGTTATTTCTGTGCCATCTATTACAATTTTAAACGGTACTAGCGATGTAATCTGCTGCTCGATAAACTCCATTTCATTAACAGTAGATTTCGTATTTTCGTGGAGGAACTATAATCTGATAGGCCGACAGAAGCGAGGAGAGGAAAATCTCGGATTTTTCCAAATAATATTTTCAGTTTCTTTGTTACATTCATTTCCGGCAAATTTAAGTTGTAAAGGGACAAGCGATGTTAAAAATATATTTGCGTCCGAATTACTTTCGTCACTAAACTTTTGTTTATATTCGCTTTGACCGGAACTTCCGTCGCACCCCCACTTACAGATCAAGTCCGCTTTTATAACTGTTTCCATATTCAAGGATTTCATAATATCTCTTTGAGTAAGAAGAAGACGTTTGCATGTGTGGTCTAATAAATCTTGCAACTTTATATCTGCACTACTTTCAGTAATAGTAATACTAGATTGAGGTGGATAACATAATTTCTTGGCCGCTCGCACTGCTTCATAGTTCGGGTATAATCGACAGTTATTTTCCTTCATTGATGATCTGATGACGTTGTATTGCTTTCTGGTGAGTTTAGCTTCGACCATAATCGAGAGAGCTACGTCCGCAGATAACGTAGTCTCGACTGTCGCTTGAAATGCTGTTCTGTATCGTACAGCTCTCGTTGGTGAGGTTGTTGTAATGTCCTGTACAACTTGTGCTGAATGTAAATTTCCGGAAG